TTTTTGACGAAAACAGAAACTGACACAGTGGGAGCAGCAGCTGCTCCGGCCTTTGATGATATACTGTAAGTTAGAAAAGCGATCATAAAGTGATTTTTGTACGGTATTCACAAGCTTTTTATGCTTGGTGTTTTCTTCAATTTTTTATGAAAGTATAGTGCATGATTTGCCCAAACCTTCGGAATCAAAACTTTAAAGTTTAACAGTTCATAAAATTTTTATTTTAAAATTAAAAAAAAAATTAATTAGAGGTGTGGTGTGTGATAGCATTATAAATTGCAAGTTTAAAGCGGCAAAAAATTTCCTTAGATTTTTTGTATGCGTTATACAAACATATGTAAAATTTTAAATTATAATTTACCAAGATTTGTTACATCATACACTGTCGACGAAAAAATTTGGCATAAAAACATTGTGAATATTGTAAGAAAATCCCCGTATGAAGGTTTTGTAACTCACTGTATTAAGCAATGATGTGAGAAACATCAAAACAACTTAAAAAAAATAATACGTATGGAATTTAGCATATTCTGTCATTAAATGTACTTTTTAATTATAATACTTTTGAATTCCCAAAATTATGTTGTTTTTAAATAAATGACGTAGGGTACTGCTTACCTTATGGTTATCATTAAATGTTACTCGGGCGAATTTGGTTTTTTTATACTACATTCACTAAATTTTCATTAAAATATAATCAAATGTCTCAATCTTCATCGCCATATATTCTGAAAATCTGACGGGTTGCAGTCTTACCTTTCATAAAAATTATTGAATTCCCTGGATTAGTGTAGAAAACTAAAGAAAACACGTATCAAAATTTCCATCCAAAATTCAAACGTTTTTCTCAGAAGTGCTAAAAATTTTTTGTATACATTTTCATAGTCGCATTTACTTCCAAATAACGAATAAACACATTTTTTTTCTATTGATAGAAAATCTCAACATATTCACCAAAAATTCTAAAAACTCAGCGGTAATTCCTAGACACTTGAAACTTGCACATTATTGAATTACAATTTAAAGGACAATAAAACTGTATACTGAAAAAAAGTTTAGCGCTTCTGAGAAGTAGTTTAAAATTTGGGTGAAAATTTGATGAGTTTTTTTACTCAATAAGCATTGGGCTTGGTTAACAATTCGAAAATTATTGGAAAACGAATCTTGTTTTCGAGTCTTTCCTTCGATAACGAATGTGGCATAGGGTAGTATTCGATTCGAGAACTAGGCCATTCTCCAGCAAAACGCAATCCTCGTTATCCAATGAATTTTCACTTCGTTATGAATTCGAATTCCAGTCCAGTTCCAATCAATGTTTATTGGGTATTGTTTTATAGTTTTTTACTTGGGTTTTTTTGGTATTTGTGAGGAAATGAACTCTATTTTAAATGGAAAAATTTAAACTCACGTTAAACCAGTTATGGTTGCGGCATTTTTATAAATGTGCTAAAAGTGGTATTTTTCGTAGTTCCTTCCCTTTCCACTGCAGCACCCTGCGGAATCTATTTCGGAAATAGTTCGCGTTTGGTTCACACGGTCATCGAAACAATATATCGATGCCTTACTTTCTCAACCTCGTATCTTAAAAAAATGCGATTTTGAGATTTTCATATCAAACGATTCCTATATTTCTGTTCTATAACTGCAACGA